GGGCCGGGGCCAGCCTCCCCGCTCTGGCCCACTGCCCCTGACTGCCCTGCTGGCTGGCAACGACCAAGCAGTGGGGTTACCCAGACTTGGCGGAGGTCCCCCGCGAACGAGCCCACCTCCCCGTCCCTCACGATTTGTCCCACCGGCAACCTTAGCGGAGGGGAAGGGGTCTGAGGGGCAGACAGGGATTTTTATGCTCTTGGATCCGTCTAGGAACCCAGGTGTCGTGGCGGCGAACGGTATGCTCAGAAATTGAAGGCCCTGGCTGGAAACCCGGAGTTCTGAGGACCGCAGTTGCTGAGTGTGCGGCCATATCTTCACGGTCAGGGCTGCTCTGGGAGAGGGGAGGCCCCCATTCCTACAGCAGCTGCAGATGTTAGTTAACTGCTTCCAGTAGTGGACCCTCTTCTCCGCAGGTGTGAACCAAACGCAGGGGACAGAAGCCTCCTCTGGCCTCCTGGTCACCAGCTCTGAGCCTGGGGCCATTGTGGGTAGCCTCCAGCCTGCAGCAGAACCAAATGCAGGGACTGACCACACCCCAGGGCCTGCAGGGCAGGCTGCAGTGAGCGGGTGGTGAGCAGGCGCACAGCTCAGCACTGGGTACCTCTACTGGGTGCACACAGATGGCCCTACTGCAGAATGGGGCAGCCAGTGGGCTCGGTGAAGGGTAACACCACCACTCCGTTTGGAGTGAGCTGCTCTGGGGACTGAATACCGGCTCAGTCTCATTTCTGCTGGAGGACCCTTCCAGGTGCTCAGCATTGGCCCACTTTTACAGAGAAGGAGCCCGAGGGTCCGGGAGGCCAAGTCATTTGCCCTATGTTTTATTCCTTGGCTAGGAAAATCCAACTTTTATTTCTTAAATACTGTGAATGAAAAGGGGATAGTTCCCTAATGGGGGAGGGCCATTGAGCAGAGGCTTCGGGGTCATCAGGAAGGAAAATGGCTGAAATAGGGGTCCTTCTGCAATTGCTGTTGCTTCAGACTCCATCCCCAGTGCTTGCTACCTCCAGGTCCTGGCTCAGGTGGCCTTCGAGAGAAGCAGCTGGGACCCCCCATTCTTCCACATTGTTGTGCATCCCGTGGGGAGCATACCAGACCCCCAGTGCCCTGTCTGCCAGCCTGGACTCCTGTTGTGCCCAGCTGCCTCTTGCTCTGGTCCAGATGCAAAGTGGTTGCCAGGTAACTGGAGGTAGCAAGGAAAAGTGTTTTTTCTTTAGGATGCCTTGCAAGCCTCTGGCCTGACTTTCAGGGCCTTGGTTTATGGACTGTCCCTGTGTGAGCCTTTTTACTGTGTTCTCCATGTGGTTGGCCCTGCTGCCTCCTGGAAGGCCTGCTTTGAGGGACTTCCCTCCCCAGACTGACCAGCTGCCTCTGTGTTCCATGGGGTCTGGGTGTGGTACTCGGGCTACCAGTACTGGTCATGGCCTTGACCTCAGTCCTTGTGCTTCTCCTGCTCCTGCTGGACATGTGGGGGCTGGGTCAACCAGGGCTGGGGCAGGGGTGATGTGGGGAGGGAGGCTAGTGGGCCCTGAGGAGAGAGTCTCATAGGGTCGTGAGTCCCTCTTTGAAGCTACTGAGCTCCACTCACCCCTTCCACATGGGTTTTCTGGGCATCTCTTACATATCACTCAAGCACTAGGCTCTGAGGCTACTGCAGGGAGCCAGCATATGTATCCCAGCCATGAAAGATGACAGTGATGTCACTGAGCCTCACTAAACACCTGTTTGGGGCCATCTGTTATCTCATTCGTTCAACAAACACTTAGTGAGCACCTACTATATGCCAGGCACTGGGCTGGGTACTGGGAGACAGATGATCCCAGCGCAGAGCAGACAAAATAAGCAACAAACAGCAAAGCAAGATCTTTGAGACTAAGATCACTTCTACGAATCCAGGTGTGACAGGGATGCTGGGGCTGGGCTGGGCTCCTCTAAAGAGAGTGGCTTGAGGTGAAAATAACCCTATAGGATTAATCTCTATCCCAACTTGACAGGGTAAAAACAATCAACTGGGGTCCAGGTGACTGATCAAGTAAGAGGGGCCAGATTCCAAGCCCAGGTCTGACTCCTTCATTCCACATATACTGATTGGGTGCTGTATTAAGCATGTCTTTTTAAAAAATAATGTATTTTATTTAACCCTATCTATCCAAGATAGTATCATTTTAATATGTAATCAAATAAAAATGATTTATAAGATACTTCCCCTTTTTTACATGGCTCATTGTATGCTTGCAGTATGTTTCAAGCGCTGAGAAGCCACATGTGGCTGGTGTCCACCTTACTGGACAATACAGATCCAGGCACAGATAATAATCAATTCATAATTTTGTATTGCTTCTTTTTTATTAAGACTTCAATATTTTTAAAAAACAGTTGAATTTTCCCAGCAAAATTGACATTTACCAAATACCCTGGCCCCGACACACGCACTGCCTTCCCCATTATCAACATCCCACATCTCAGAGGTACGTTTCTTACCGCTAATAATGAACCTACACTGACATATCATTATAATCCAAAGTCCATAGTTTACGTGCGGGTTCACTCCTGATTGTACATTCTGTGGGTTTGAACAAGTGTATAAGGACATGTATCCATCATTATGGTGCCATACTGGGTGTTTTCACTGCCCTAAATCCTCTGTGTTCCCTGCATGTCTTTTTTATTCTGATGTTTTGACAGCTGGGGCCTTGCTGATCCTGGAGGTACTGCCCCTCCCAGGGCTAGCAGATTCCTAAAGATAGTAAAGGACTTCCGTTGGAGGGCAGCTTTCATATGCAAACCAGCCAATCCAGAGCCCATACCCTAATCTGCTCCTCCATCAGGCTCTCACTCTCAGGGCCACTATCTTCCAGCCCTGAACCACCCCGCCCCTCCCTGCCCGCCTCTATCCCACTAGGTGCAAGACAACTAGGGCCAGCCCCTGCACCCCAGAGCTTGCTGAAATTATTCCAGCTAGCCCATCCTAAGCCTACTGACACTGCCTCACCCATTCCTTCCCATGGAAATCACAATAAAGGCTCTGGCCTACGTTTCCCCTCTAAGATCAAGAATAAGAAAAAGACGTCCACATTGGCCACTTCTTTTCAATATTGTACTACAGGTTCTAGTTGGGGAAATTCAGCAAGACATAGAAATAAAAGGTAATCAAATTGGAAACGAGGAGTAAAAATATTCAATTTGCAAATGACATTTTCATATATACAGAATAAATCCTAAAGAATCCATACACACAAAACTATTAGAGCTAATAAAGTCAACAAAGTTGCAGGACACAAGATTAACACACATAAATCAGTTACATTTCTACACAATAGCAGTGAGCAATCTGAAAGGTAATTTTTAAATAATTCCACTTATAGTGGCATCAAGAAGAATAAAATACTTAGGAATAAACTTAACTCTGGAAGTGCAAGACTTATAGACTGAAAAACTATGAATAATTGTGAAAAGAAATTAAATAAAACCTAAAGACATGGAAGACATCCCATGTTCATGGATTGGAA